AACGGAGTAATGAATATTCAGAACTTGCTCTTATCAACAGTGACACCAGCAACACTATTGTAGATATTGTTTGATTATAAAATCTTTATCGCAGCATACAAAACATTTAAATCTATTAGGTAAAATTCATCCAATTACTCAGTTTTGCCATTTGGAACAGGAAGTGTGGCAGAACAGCTCTCACTTAATTCCGTGTATCTACATTACCGCTGGTTAAGTAGTCCCCTTTTAGTAATATAAATATATGGTTAAATTGTTTAGTATCTTTTTTTCCGGCATTTTCTTTCAGGTTACGTAGCTGAGAGTCCAATAATGTGACTTTTCAAGCCTGACTGTTCAACTAAACAGGAATCGTTACTATATTCTTAGTAACGTCATTTGTTTCTTACTTTTCTTTATTATCTTGTTTGATTAACGAGAGAAAATTTAATTTGCTTGTATTTTTTCGTGTTACCTTAACCTAAACACGATTCCTACTCAAAAATTCACGCTATTGACTTTTCGCCTAACATAAGTAGGAAAACCAACTTACTAACGAAAAGTAGTGAGCAAGGTACTCAAATAACATATATGTTGTGCTATAAAACTTAATTATTTATATGCTTGTCTTTAAAAGTAATGCCGCACTTACAATTATAATTTTGGGGGCGCATAATTTCTCTCTCTCCCGCTCAATTTGGCTTGGACAATAACATCGTCTTCGCTCTATGTCACTCATCTAACGATGAATTCCTTAAGAGGTGGGATAAGTCCAGGGAAAAAAAAGATTCAAATTTCTTTTGTTTTGCGCGATGAAGTCGAACCTAAAAACAGATTTGGAGTCAACTCTTTACAATACGATGTCTACCTAAATCGTCTTTTCACAGCGGGGCGAGATTCTGTCATTCGAATATGGAATTCGCAAAAAGAAAATGTATTTTTAAAATTGAGTCTTGTTTATGTCACCAGGATTCTTTGTTACAAATAATGGAACATCACACTGACTGGGTCAATGACATTGTCTTGTGCTGCGACGGAAGAAATCGTTGGTTGACCATATGTTATTTTAAAAAACATACTTCTTATATTTAAACGCATTCATTCTTTTATAGTAATATCAGCTTCAAATGACACGACGGTTAAAGTATGGAATGCACACAAAGGTTTCTGTATGTCGACCCTCAGGACCCATAAAGATTATGTCCGGGTACTCGCTTATGCCATGCATAAAGAGGAAGTAGCGAGTGCGGGATTAGATCATGCTATAGTCCTTTGGGACGTTAATACACTTACGGCATTGACCCCAACTAATAATACAGTCACAGGTATTTAAGGCCGCTGATTCATTTATCATCTTTTTACTATCGTTGCTCCGAATCTATAATAAAATT